CAAGTAAATCAAATCTTATTATACTTGCACGAAAGTCGTGCATAACCTATTACAAATTTGAAGTTATTCCATTAATTATCTAATCTCCATTATTTAATTAAATGATAATCTGTACAAATATTTTTATATTAATACAATTTTACATTAAGTAATGTTTTATATGTTTATATTAAATAATGTTAAAATAAAACAATAATTAAATTCAAATCCGACTTCAAATATTTTTAGTATGATTTAGTTGGTAATCAATTTAATTTCGATGTAATAATACTTGTAAAAAATGATATTCAATAATATATTAATATAAAAAAACATAATAATTTACAAATTAAACCATCAAATTTAATAAATATCAAATTCCACAAATTTCGATATATCTATATCGATGTAATGTAATTCTCTCTATGATTTTTGACAAAAGACTAATGTCATATGCATTGATTCGTCTAAATTGTGAATTTTAGCAGTTTCCTGATTGGCTGAGTGACATGGTTTCTTCTAAACTTAAATCGCGCAAAAAAATAACTCAAATAATAATAATAATGAATAATTTAATAACAAAGTTTAACAAGAAGATAAGAAATTCATCATAAGATAATTAAATACATAATAAATAAAATTTAAAATATAGGGAAAAAGTTAAAAATAATTTAAAAAAAAAAACAAAGCAAATAAAACACAAAAAATCATAAAATTATATAAAACTAAATAAAAATTATTATATACTAAAAAAATATAAGAATTCTTTCAATAGGCTTTAATATACCAAAAATTAGAAATTTCATTTCATCATATCGTGATAATTTTCGATTGGTTCGCGATTTCAATTTATGATTATAATTATTTTTAATATTAATAAATAACATTTAAAATATTTTAATATAACACAAAAATTAAAGAAATAATGTAAAATTAGATTAAATTTATAATGCGTAGGAATATATTATATTTTAAATATATTATTGTAATATAAATTAATAACAAAAATCTAACAATAACTAAATTGAATTATAATAGAAAACTTATTTTTCGCAACATGAACACATAAAATACATTCCAATATAATCATTGTTATCTTATGTTGCATTACGATTATAGAGAAAAAAGATCATGATTTAGGAGTCACTTTCAAAGATCAAATTTTTGTAAGAGATACATCGAATTCAATTTTTATCTAATTTTAATTCTTAATTTACTTTAATTTTATTTAATTTCTAACTTTCAATTTTCAATTTATTGATTAATTTTTTATTCTTAAATTGTTTAATTATTTTATTTTTAATTTTTAAATTTATATTAATTATATTTAATTTTATAACTTGTTTAAAGTTTTGTTATATTTAAATTTTTATTTTATTTCATTTTAATTTGTTCTTCAATTTTTAATTTTAT